GCACTACGTAGTGCAACCTGCACCGGGTGTCATTTATCCACCAGACGTGCCTAGTCCAGCGCTTTGTTATGCTAAGGTGCTATTGGCACATCTCAATTCGCGATCGGCGCTGCAACGTACAATTGTGGGGCTTACGATGTCTCATTGGGCGACTGTGGATCCACTAAAGATACCCACGATACCGGACATACTCAGGTACGAGGTACAACGTTTATGAAAAACAAATATTTCACTAAATTATCTTAATTGACGAAATAAAATGGTTCTTTTTGTTCTTTAAAGTGACAGATTATTGGCTTGTTTAAACGAATGTATGTACTATGATGAGATTGTGGCTTCCTTCACTCGATTGCTGCATGAAAGCCGTGATTATATCGCAACTTTAAAACATTACAAGCTGATGGTACCAGTTGAAGTGGATTCATCCGGCGTGATGACTCTCGATCAGATTGCTGCACTTGTCGGAAAAACAATTCCCACCCTTTGTACTGTGGGAACAAACGCAGGTGGAGGTGGAAATATTAGCGGCGGTTCGATGGCTATTAAGTTGAAACCTAAATTAATGGAAAGCTTGGAAGAGAGGAGACGAGCGTTGGATGTCGGAGCAGCTACGACAGCAGCGCAGCAACAATCGTTGCATGTCATGTCAATGGCTGCGCTTGCCGGTGCCGCTACAATGTTACATATCCTTCCTCAATCTCCGCAGCCACTTAATCCATTAGTAAAACCGCTAATGGAGGCTATAAAACGCGAGGAAAACGAGGAACTACAAAAACTAGCTGCAAAACATTTGTCTCATCTAGTCGAGCTTTGTGTCGACAGAAAACCGTCTCCGAACGCAAAGGTTTGTATATAAAATACGCAAGATTACAAAGAATAAAGCTGAATGGCACAGAGTGTCTCAAAACTATCGAACATCCTTTCCACATGGCGCAACATGTTAGCAAACAATTACCTGATTACAGATTTCAACCAACCTATGTACATTCCTATGTTCTGATATTGAGTTCACGCCACGGGTGTGTTGCGCCGGCGACAATGAACTTTGTGATGGAATACTCACTTTGAATAACAGGCATAAACATGCCGAGAGAATAGCGTACAACCGAGGTGCGGGAAGTGGCCTCGGCAGTGGTAGAGGTCCTGGTAGGCCACCGACGACTGAGATTCCCATTGAAGAGTTGCTCGCTTGCGAGGAACCAGAAGCCAAAGCCGCTAGAACGCGCCGTCGCGGAGCTACATTGGCGTTAACAGCCATAGGTACGTTCTTAAAGAGTCAACATTTAAAGAGATAGTTCCGATGTTCGTTAGTTAATTAAATCTACGGTCTTTTCTGATCCGTTGAAGAAAAAGGCAAGAAGAGAGAATCGATTAGATTCCAATGAATTGTATATAATTAACTCTGACGAAAACAATCCAATAATATATATGTAAGCTGTATTTTAAAACATTTTCATATTCCTAAAGCTACTCTCTTCGATGCTCAACTACCTGATCGCTTACCTCAACTGTGGGATTTGATTTTACCGAACTTGCTGAAAGACACGACCATAAAAGATATCGTACAAGTGGAGGAAGGAAATCAATTAATTTTTGGCTTACAAGTATTGGAGATTATGGCGCCGAGTTTAGCCAAGTCTCTGTTACCGCCTGCATTAGAATGTCTGCCACGTTTGTGCAATTTACTAGCACATCCGTACAAAGCCGTTAGGCATATGGCCTCACGATGTATAGCGACATTAGCTAATCTAAATACAGAGAAGGTAATATTTAAGCTTTATCAGACGCATATCAATAACAATAGAGACAAAATGACTGAGAACAGTTGCTTTCAGACAATGGTGCACATAATACGCAGCGTTATACCACTCTTAGACACGACTGGCAACGAGAGGAGATGTTCCTCGGGCATAGTGGCACCGAACGAAGTCGATTCCGTACGCCAGGGAGCCGCGGAAGCTCTAACTTGTATCGTCGAGAGCTTAGGTGTACACGTGGTACCATATGCAGTACTCTTTATGGTACCCTTGCTGGGACGTATGAGCGATCAAAATCAATCTGTACGACTAGTTTGTAGCGCGACATTCGCTACGCTTGTACAACTGTTACCGCTAGATCCTGGCGCAATTACGGATCCACCAGATTTAGTGTATGTTATTCATGCAAGTTTATACTTACAATGCTCGATAATAGGTGCATTTGGTGCATACAATGATATTCCTTGAAAATGGTGTCACTTTCCGTAAATAACGAGTGATTACGAATAGTATTACAGAGAAATATCAGTTCATTATAATGAAATTGATTGTGTCATCGTTTTCCGAAATACTGAATTCACTAATTAAGCAAGCTATACAGTTGAATATTGATTAATACTTTAAGACATTCTCCAACAAGATATATCGCTTTATTCACCAATTGTGTATATTATCGAAAACTCGCATGACACTCGAGTTTAGTGTTACTTATGTAATATCGTATCACAGGCAGGAAAAGGCACAAGAGAGAAAGTTCTTGGATCAGCTTCTGAATCCTCGTAATATTCCTGATACGGAGCTGCCGATTCCCGTAGCCGCGGAATTACGTTCGTATCAACGACAGGGCTTGAATTGGCTCAATTTTCTTAATCGTTATCATCTCCATGGAGTTCTGTGTGACGACATGGGGCTTGGGAAAACGTTGCAGACGCTGTGCATTCTAGCGTTAGATCACCATCGCAATCCACAGACACCGGCCAGCCTCGTAGTGTGTCCACCGACTCTTACTGGTCATTGGGTGTACGAAGCCGAAAAATTCTTCAAAGCAAAGGACTTGTCGGTCATTCAGTATGCCGGTACGCCGCAGGACCGCGAGAAATTGCGTCCCCGGGTGCCACATCACAGGCTCGTAGTTGCGAGTTACGATATCGTACGAAAAGACATCGAATTCTTCGAGACCCATCAGTGGAATTACTGTGTGCTCGACGAAGGCCACATAATAAAGAACGGCAAAACAAAAAGCGCCAAAGCCACGAAACGATTGCACGCGAGTCACAGGCTGATATTGTCCGGCACACCTGTACAGAACGACGTACTCGAATTGTGGTCTCTATTTGACTTTCTAATGCCGGGCTTCCTCGGTAGCGAGAAACAATTCGCCGCTAAATATTCCCGTCCGATCCTGGCGTGCAGGGAGCCGAAAGCGGGACCGAAGGAACAAGAGGCTGGTGCTTTAGCTATGGAGGCTCTGCACAGACAAGTAATTTTCGCGTGTCACATTTTCTCTGCAAAAATACCCTAATTTAGAGTACACCGTCATGATCAGAAATTGATTACAGGTACTGCCGTTTTTATTAAGACGAAACAAGGAGGACGTGTTACAAGATTTACCACCCAAGATCACGCAAGATTATTACTGCGATTTGTCGCCCTTACAACGCATACTTTACGAGGATTTCCGCACTCGACATTCTGCCCTGAACAGCTCCTCGTCTTCGAATGATTCTCAAAGTAGTCACGTTTTCGAAGCACTACGCTATCTGCGTAATGTGTGCAATCATCCAAAATTGGTGCTAAGTCAAGGACATCCATTGTATCGAACAGTATGTACTCGAAAACAGAAGTGTTTAGAGGAAAAATATTTAAAGAAAGAAAGAAATGTAATCTTGTTTTACTTCTCAATTTTTCAAACGCCTGCTGTAACAACTTTCCTACATTTCCAGGTATGCGATATGTTGAAACAACAACAAAGCACTCTGGCAGAGATCGAACACGGCGCCAAGTTACTTGCGCTGAAACAACTGCTATTAGATTGTGGCATCGGGCAACAGCAGCAGCAAACTCGCAGTTCCTCTATCGCCGTAAATATTGTCGCGGAAAGCACCCATTCCCAAGAACAGCAATTAGTCAGTCAGCATCGCGCTCTAATTTTCTGTCAATTGAAAGCGATGCTGGATATTGTGGAGGAGGATTTACTTCGCACGCATCTGCCGACAGTAACGTATCTCCGTCTGGATGGCAGTGTACCGGCGGCGCAGAGACATTCTGTCGTGGCGCGTTTCAACGCGGATCCATCGATAGACGTTCTTCTGTTGACCACTCAGGTCGGTGGTCTTGGATTAAACCTAACGGGGGCGGACACCGTCATATTCGTGGAGCACGACTGGAACCCCATGAAAGATCTCCAAGCGATGGACCGCGCGCATCGTATAGGCCAGAAGAAAGTAGTCAACGTGTACCGCTTGATTACCAGGTCGACAGTGGAGGAGAAGATCATGGGACTACAAAAATTCAAGCTTCACACAGCGAACACGATAATATCGACGGAGAACGCTTCTCTGGAAACTATGGCTACCGATCAAGTAATTAGACAATTAATATGTTTGCTGTCCGACACGAATTTCACTACCGAAACTCACGTGATGTATAATTAATGTAATTTCCTTAGTTGTTGGATCTATTTTCGTTGGATAACGGAAAGGAGAAGAGAACGGATCACCAAGAGGACGCTGTTTCGTCGAAACTTCCTGGCCTACCGGGAATTAGCCGTTCCGTGCTAGATATCCTACCCGAACTCTGGGAACAGCAGCAATACGACGACGAATACGATCTCAACTCATTTTTGTCCACTCTGAAGGCTGATAGCCAGTAAGCTTACCAGTACCTCGATAAATCATTCAATGTAGATTTTAGAGCTCGGCAGGTTCGCGTAGCTCAAAGTTGACACATGATATCAAATAACGAAGAAATTGTAGAAATCAGATCCGGTTGTTAACTCTTGGTTGCGTATAGTTGAATACTTGTAGCATATTCCCAATGGCCAAAAGCGATCGCTTACGTAATTAACGTAATAATAAAAACTACGCCTGATTAAGAGTTAACATATCTAGCCCTGTTACAGTGAAAAGCAAGTTGTTAAGTCTTACAACAATAAGAAAAATGACATTATCATCGTACCTAAACTCAGATAACCCATATGATAGTAAGTAGAGATAAGGTGTCTGTGCGTAAGGTAAACGTGTGTTTTGTTAGCTATAATAATTTATAAAAATGCCGATACAATTACAATTCCGCATTTGTACCAAACGACGCCACGGTGCATAATTATTTATAATGTATACTATACTAGTCTCTTTTTTTTTCTCCATGTCATTATTACACAAGGTCAGCAAACAATGCCAATTGCTTCGTATTTGCTATCTACGTGCATTCTCCTTAAAAAACACTCGCACGAAACTGGTCTTGATGGCAAGTTGATGAGATGTTGTAACCTTTGGTTGAAGGATACGAGATCACGTCAATTTGCTGCAGTTAAACTTTTCAATGATTCAAGATATCGGCACTAACGGAGTAGCTCTACAGATTCCCCCAGCGTTTATTTGTAAATTCACAATTTTGATTTATTCCCTGAAACCATGTTGCCCGCTGCGAATATATTATGCGGATCCAAGTGCGCCTTGGTCGCTCGGTAAAGGGAAACGCCCGCTTCCCCAACGGCTTCGGGATAAAACGAAGCTCGTATTTTACCTACTCCGTGATGATGGGAGAGCGAGCCTCCATTGGCGAGTATTTCCTCTCGCGCCGCATGCTCGATGGCCTCGTACGTTTCCACGGGATTCTCCATGTTCACGTAGCTAATCGCCAAGTAAAAATACACGCAACAACCGGCGTCGTAGGTCTGCGTGACGCGACAGGAAATAAAATATTTACGAACGCCGTGCGCCTTACAGTCCCTGGCCACGCGAGACTTAACATTTCTGCACAGTGATAATGCGCGGTTCCAAGAAACGGAAGTCTCAAACGACTCCGCTAACACGTTAAACTCGAGTCCAAAGTCGCGGATGTACGCTATCACGAATGTCAACATGTAACCCCGTTCACCGTTCGCCTCGCCTGCCGGTATGCCACCGTATTTATCGGCTATCTTGTAAATTTTTTGTTCCTGAGCCGCGACATCCGCCGCCGCGTCACCCTCTATCAGTAGCGTGGCCACGCACATCTGATCCCATCGGAAACCCTTTATTCTAGTGATGTACATATGTTTTAGTCCTTGCAGGATCAAACCGCCCCAACCAGACTCCGGGCGTAAAGTCTGGCCCATTTGGAACTGCTCGTTGTCCATTAAGCGTATGCTGGCGGGTTGACATCGTTCCTTCGCAATCTGTTACATTCAATGAAATGGAGTCTATTAAATTGCATTCTTTCGTCTATCGTGTCGCGAGATCGTACTCCTTTGGCTATGAAAACGGCTTATACGACGGCTGCCGTCGGTTTCCCTTGGTCATAATATTTATATTGGGCAAGTGTTAACAAAGAAGCACGGTCTTCGCCGGTCGGCTTAAATGCAAAAGTCAACATGAGGAATACGCACCTCTCGCAATGCGTGAACGCCGCTCATAAAATGCGGAAATACAATACTGCCGTATTTCGTCACTCGCGGTAACGGTCTTATCTTTAATATGATCTCCGTGACAACACCCAGCGTTCCCTCGCTGCCGAGTATCATATGATCGAAATCCGGGCCGCATGACGCGCGGGGTACCAGACTGCCTCTTTCCAAACTGATAACAGGATCCTCTGTTCTCCCGGTGACCATTCGCATCCGCACGACCAAATCCTCAATGTTGCCGTACGTATTCTTTTTCATGCCGCTTGCCCTAGTCGCCACCCATCCACCTAAACTATTCGAGACAAGCTATTTTCAGCTTTTCGTGCGTTCGACATTTTCTTTCTCACGCGCAAAGGCAAACTTTTAAATACCGATTACTATTCAGGGCTGAGTTCCAGATATGGTTGGCATAAATTTCTTTCAACTATCTCGGAGACAAGTTACATGTACTTTTACGGGTTTAACTTTTCAAGACTACTCATTTATTTTGCGTTGTGACTCCAAGTTATAGGCGTGTCTTCTATCTTATACTTGAAACGCAGTTATAATATTTATCTTTTTTATAGTTTATATGTGGTACTCTGCCAAAAGATACAGTTTTACAATGTACTTTATGTACCTTGAAAACACACATTCTTTCATACGTTAACTTGGCCCTGAATTATCATAAAAGCAAATAAATATACAATATTACAAAATGACATAATATTATTGGCCATGCTCTACGGCTTCTCTGGTGCGATAACAAATATTATGAATATTAAAAGTAGTAAAAAAATTAACACTTTATTGTATGTTGGCGACGATATGTTTTATGGCAGTTTGTACTACGGAAAAAAATAAGTCTTGTTTGCTTTTCATGCATTTAGAATAGCTCGCACTCTGAGCTGAAAAATCAATATTGAGTTTTGTAAGAAACGAAATCGGAAAGTATGTTTCGTCATCGCAAATATTATCACATATATACGTATATACATGTATGTGCACGCATGTATATATACATATATATTAGTTATCGCATATGTATCGTATTTGTATTATATACATATAATTATATACATATAAATATCATTTTAATACATATAATTATATTTATAATATAATAACATTATAATATGGGTACGTATGCCATAACTGTTAAAAATTTACTAATATCATTGTGCAGCACATGCAGCGAGACACTACTAATTGATTATTATTCGGCGCATGTAGTCTAAACAGCTTTCCTTAATTATTGTGATTTTATGTTTAATTCTGTGTTTTGTACCGCCTTTTTTTTCAGTGTCTATTACACTCACCTTTATCATACTATGTGTGTATCTTGATAAATAAAATTACTTTTGTACGAAATTCATTTTAGGAATTCAAATTTCAACCGAATTTATATCGAGCAGAGATTACCATATTCACCAGGGTTGAGAAAAATATAATGAGAAATAGCCTACATAATAGAGAGGAAAGTCTCCTATTATGAGATAGATTCTTAATACGAGATAACGGAGTTTCTGCTAAATTAACAGACATATCCTCTGTTGGTTCCATCATAAATTTATTGCCCTTGGGGTAAAATTGGTTTAGTGGAAAATTAGACCTGGCGTACCTGGAGAACTCGTAAGAATCCGGTTCGTGGCCGCACGTGAATCCTTCGGAGCGAAGCAACCGCTCCAGATCTTGACCGATGATGCCCGATTCGCAGCATATCAACAAATTGTCCCTATCTATCCACAATATTCGATTCATTTGTGAAGTGTCTAATGAAATTATCGTACGGCGTTCATCCAGGGGACAACATGTCGCGCGGCTGACGCTGGTTCCACCACCGAAAGGTATGCAGACGGCACCATAGCGTGCGCACATATTGACAATCTTGACGACATCCTCGTGGCACTCTGTAGGTATGAATATTAATAGAAGACACTTCGAAGCTGAGGTTTTCCCACGAAAAAGAAAAGAATAAAAATACACGTTTTCATTCATACGCAATAGAAAATATACATAAGCAAATGCAATTACAAGAAATGGGAAACGCAAAGTTATGTCGTTTTCTCAGAAACCGCCAGGGACGTTCATAAATCAAACGTGATCAGTAACGACATTTTTTTTCTCGCAATATGAAGGTTGTGCATGCTTTTCAAGTAAGATCCCTTACGAAAAAGTAACGAAATAATTACTGGAAAATTACTGTATATCAGTAATTGAGCTATCAGAAATTACTGATGTACAGTAATTTTCTAATAATTATTTCGGTACTTTTCCGTAAGGAATTCCCGGATTCATTCGGAGATGGAATAGAACCGTTTTGAAATAGAACCGTATGCTTTTTTCTTATGCAAAAATGGCCTGCTCGTTATACATAATAGCGTACGAGTGAAATTTTCATAAAAGAATGAATATCAGGATATGTCACATGTCGTTCTAATATATTCTGTTATGAGATATGAAATGTCTCCTCAACTGACTTAACTATCGCTCAAAAACGTGCTGTTGCTTTTCGTTAATGCAATAATTTGCCGCGCTCGCTATTCGCTTCTCTCGAATTATTCCACCAATATTGTTTATATTCCATTGCGGACAAAAATCGAGTTGATGCGATCAATTATCCGGTAATAATAAAATTAACTAACGGTTATTTTTTATGACCTTAACACTTGTTATTTGCAAAAGTAAAATTATCTTATCTCAACAAAAAAACGGACGATTCTGCGAAATGTGTGTTGTTTGTATCAATTTTATCTTTAACGAAGTTAATTTTTGTGATCCATCTCAATTATTTTTCATTAATTGTTATTAATTTAATAAGTGCCTGCTATTCAATAACTGTTATTTACCCTCTGAATTCTAGATACACTTGTCACCTATATACGAAAGTGAAAGGAAAACAGACTCGTTTATTAGTTCGGCTAAATATGTATGTGACCTCGTGCACCTGAGCAGAAATTTATATTTATCATTCTTGTTACAACTCGTATGTCAGGTACAATATTGATTTATTTCTGTGGAAAATTCGTCACATCCATATCGTACGCGACACTTTGACAATTTATCTTTAACGCGGTAATAATCGTTAAAATTTTGTTGCGACATTGAGAGGATCGTTTGAATTTCTTGAAATTTTGCGTATGTACAAAAAAACTCTTACAAATGTATTTTAAAAAATCATTTAATTCAAAGTAACTAAAATTGCATCAAATAGAATAAAATATTCGATGAAATCTGTACGAATGATACCACATACTAATGTGACACTAAAAACGAAATCGATAGAACTGATTAATGTTATTTCCTGCATTAATTGAAATTAATCGGAAAAATAAATTACATCTTACACGATGATTATAAAGATCCTTGGTATTAAAAGTAATTTCATAAGACAAGCATAAAGAATAGATTTATCGTTGTTTTTCAACAAAATAAAAATGTATTAATGTGCAAACACATATAATATTTCTAATTCAAGATGGCAAAAGATTGCCAGTAGTACTCTGCAATTGCATTGCGACGTAATTAAAGAGGCGGAGTAATAACAAACCACTGATTACAGCTTGCAGAAAAAAAGATCGACGTACGAAAGGAATCACTATTCGCCATTATCCTGTGACATGTAGCAGTGCGGTGCATTAATTCTCTTCGGATCGTATGGTCAAAAAGCATCTATGTTTAAATAATCAAATAGTTTTTGTCCATCCCTAATTATTAATTAGAACCGAATTAATGCACCGTACCGCATGTGTATACACAAGATGTTTAATTTCAACTCTTTGATCGTGATTTTTCGTTGCGATTATTACAATGATGAAAAAAAAATCAACTTACTGGGCCACAGGACAACATCCGGTATCCTTTCGAAGGAGCTGTACTTCAAAAGATAAATTTCCCGCAATGTGTGACCGTGTGCTCGAAACATACGATCGATGCCATCGGTTGAATATTCGATCGTCAATTCCTCGATCGCTTCCAACAATTCTGCTGAGAGAATTGCTTCTGGAAAGCGCTTTGGTAAATTTTGAGGCGTTTTCTTCATCTCCCATGTTATATCGAAAGTTGTTTCGCACCATTTTGTGAAATATGGGAGCTCCCGGCTTCCAATGGGATATCTAAAGAAATATCAAAATTTCTATTGTTTCCGTGAAAAATTAAACTGACTTTTACATATTCGAATCGAGTTGGACGTGTATTAATTAACCTTTGGCACTAGAACGATGCAACATTTATTTTGGACGTGTTAATTGCCAGCGCAAAGGTTGAAATACTGTTATCATTGAAACGCAGTAGAGGAAAGTCCCCTATTATGAGACAAGTTCCTAGTACGAGATAGCAAGGTTTTTGTGAAATTAATAAGCATCATCTCTTGGTTCCACCGTGAATTTATTGCTCTTGAAGTGAAAACTGTTTAGTGGAAATTTCATTGTTAGATCGTGTAATCGTTGCGAAAAAAGATTCGTGATTAAATTTGGACGTTGAAAATCTGCTATCTCACAGAAGCCTATCTCATAATAAATATTTTATTTTAAATTACAAAAACTTGGCGCTGCTCAACCGAATTTTAATAGGTAATTATAACTATCATGTCTCGTGATATTTTATTTATTAACAGTATGTCCGTTCGATGTGTTCTCTCTTCAGCTGTGTACTTAAATGCAATAATATGTAACATTATGCTAGCTATACGATCACGGTCAGGAAGGTTATCCAAAGTTTTACAATAAGTTTTCGGAATACTTGTATTATTGCGTACATATTCGTACAAATCATCATTCCTTTACTCTAATAATGCGTCATCGCACGTATCCGTGAGAAAAAGATATAATCTCTTGCATGATAAACTGTATTCTCGGAATTTATCATAAAATGTCGGAGTAGCTTTCTGACCACAACTGTACTCGAATAACTCAAACATGGAATTCATATTCCTATAGGAATTCCGAAAACTTATTGTAAAACTTTGGATAACCTTCCTGACCGTGATCGTATAGCTAGCATAATGTTACATATTATTGCATTTAAGTACACAGCTGAAGAGAGAACACATCGAACGGACATACTGTTAATAAATAAAATATCACGAGACATGATAGTTATAATTACCTATTAAAATTCGGTTGGGCAGCGCCAAGTTTTTGTAATTTAAAATAAAATATTTATTTGTATTAAATTGTCTAAACCGCGGGCAACGGGCGTCCGCGGGCGCCCAGCCGGCGGGCATGCCCCCACTCCAATCATCGCCCCACCACGTTTAAAACTATTTAGTTTAGTTGGTGCCATTTGATGATATCATTACTTTTGTAGAGAAGATAGTTTTGCAGTGAAGATATTTTTGTAGAGATGCAAATTGTCTAAACCGCGGACAACGGGCGTCCGCGGGCGTCCAGCCGGCGGGCATG